ATGGTTATATGTAAAAGAAACTTGCCAAGTTTATTCCATACCTTGAACCCAAGAAGTCTGGAATATTTACATCATGATCCAATTTCTTGAATGTCTTCTTTAGTACCTATAAATTTATAAAAAAAAAAAAAAACATTAATACAAACAACTTTTTTACCCAATTGAATACAATCTTATGACAAAATTGCATATTTCTCCCTTAAGATATCCAATTCTTAATGTAAATAATTGTTTTCCATTTAATAGGAAACCCAAATTCTTCATTTAAACTCAATAAAAGAGCTAAATAATTGTTTTCCATATAGTAACTAAATTGTATAATATATATATATATATATATACATGATTCCTGAACGAGCAACTAGGACATAAATACATCCAGAATGGAAATGGACACACTTTCAACATCTCATTAGATGAAAAAACAGCACATTAAAGACCACTCATGGCTTCGAGATCTTCTTACCAAACCTGAGAATAAACATTATTATCTTGAAAAAAAAAGTATGATCTGAAACAACTAGTGAAAAAAATTGGCTATAGACTAGCCTATGAAAGCCTATCTTAGCATCACTACGAATAGAATATCTTTAAAAGTTTAAAGCTAACCATATAGCTTTTTTAGCAAGGAAAATATACCCAATATGCAACACATAATACAATTACAAATGACACAAACACACATTTTCCTTATTTATGATTATGATGATCTGCAAGCTCCAAGCCATTGACTAGGCATGGTGATGAGGACATCAGATTTCGACATGTGTACCATCGCCGGAGACGCAGATCGACGGCCACGATTCAGAGCCTCTATTTCTGATTTAGTTGTATTTTATTTATGGTTGTATTTCTATTTTTCCTAGTTTGCCCCTGTGGGCCTTGAGTCACTTATGTAGCCTCGAGGGCATTTGTGTCATTTCAATTTTTATTTTACCTTGGCCTATTTATAAGAGGCCTCATGCAATGTATGGGTAGTTGATGAATTATTGAATGAAATTTTATTTCCACTTGGTGATCTCTTAGTGAGTTCCTTGGAGGAGAAAGATCTCTTTGTGAGTTCTTAGTTTTTTCCCAATATTTTTTTGTGAGATTTGGGGTGGAAGCACTTGAGGTGAGTGGATCTTTGGCTCTTCACAATTCTAATCTTTCCTTTCCCTTGAAGTGAATTCCCCTCCCCATAAGCCTTGCCGCCGCCCCATTGGACCACCCAAGCCGCCGGCTCCCTGGCAGCCACCACCCGCCGGCCATCCTCCCCGCCCCCTTGGCCCCATCCCCCCATCTAACCGCCGGCCTCCCTCCTTGGGATTTGAAATTTCAAATTTCAAATTTTTCCAAGAGACATAAATGACTTTCCTAAAATAACTCCTTGATTTTAGGCAATCTTCTTATTTGAATTTCAAATTAATCCAATTGATTGCCCTTATATTAGGAAACTTACCCCACATAAGAAATCTGAAATTTCAATTCAGATTTTTAATAAATTGTGATTAATTTTGTGGGCCCCATTTAATTAATACCCAAGCCCCTCTCTCCTCTTCATGTGGCCGGCCCCTTAATGGGCTCTCTCCCCCTTCCAAAATTACATTGATTGCTCCACAAATTCAGCCGCAAACTCCTCCCCATTGCCGCCCCTCTTCCCCTCCTTGGATTAATTTGAATTTCAAATTAAATCCTTCTCCCCAAATTACTAAAATCTGAATTTATTTCAGATTTCCTGCGCTTACCACTTAGCTTCCCACCCTAGCCGATCCCCCTTCTAGACCTCAAACCGGCTAACCCTTTTCCCCTCCAAGCCGCCACCTCCTCTCTCCCTCTTCCTTCTTTTTGGTGCTCCCTCAACTCCAGGCGAGGATGCATGGCGGATCCTGAAGTTGATCACAGCTTCGCATACAACGAACAAGTAGAGATCGATATCTTCCTCTCCCCCTTCTACGAGCCGGATTGGGAGTACGACATCACCGTAGAACGATACGTCAATCGTATCGTTTATTGCCTTGCCGGAACCATCGACTTCAACGACCAAGAACTCCGTGGATTCTTCTTGGACGGCCACCCGCTTCCCCTACTCCCGTTCCTTCCCCGGCGACTAGTCCTCTCGGCATCACTTGTGTAATAGTGGTATCTCTAAGCGTGCTTACGATCCTCTTCCGCTAGCCTCCACTTTCAAGAGTGATTAAAGGACCTCGAAGTGAAGGATCTAGATTTTAAATGTGAGGCTTTGTTACAGTTGGCTATTTGCATTATCTAAATTCTTGGTTATTAATTTTGCAAGTTCTCGTAATCTCAATGTGATCTATTGCTATTGCTTTATCTTTCATGCTATTTTCTAAAACCACTTCTTGAGTAAACTAGCTTTTATGGGTAGTACGCAAAGTTCATAACCTTTATTAATCTCTTATTGCAATTCTTGTATCCGCATTTAGTATCACATCACATGGGCTTGGATAAAGAAATAACACGTTCAACAGCTAGATCAGATGCTCAGAAAATTCAAGGCAAAGCCTATAAATTGATCAAGTTGAGGAACCTCATTTATCTACATTATTTGATGTCATTAAGAGATTATTAACCTGAATCTCCTGTGGAGTGGTCATATCACCATTTAGCTTGGGTTATTTTTTCTTACTTCTCATAGAAGTTAAACAATATAACCACTAGAATCTACGCAAGCAGTTTTCAGCTGGTTTGATACAGTAACTCAGAACAAGTCATCCTCTCTTTTAACTATTAAGATCATAATATTTTTCCTTGACTCTTGTGTACCTAGTAGAAACCTTTTTCTAATTAGTTCTTTAATTAGATATATTTATTACAGCTAGAATAATTGATATAGTATCATGATATTCCAAAACATTGAAGGCGGAAAGCTAAAGAATGAAATAAAAAATTAGGCATTCATTAACCTGTGCACCACATTCCGCTCATGAAGATAATGTAATCCATTTAGGATCTGCCTAGTATAGGCTGAGACTTGAGTATTTTGTAGCCGATACTTTTCATAGAGAGATGAAAGAGAACCTTGTGTCACAAGTTCAAGGAAAATAAATAGTTTTGACTCTTCCTGCAGAATAAAAAATTACAAGATATTTATATATTAGAGATGGACTATCAAGAAAGCAAACAGATACAAGCCTAAATGGAATTGAAAAAGTAAAAATATTGCAGACTCTCTGTAACAGCTGCTAAAACTATAAACTGCAAATGCAAAAAAAAAAAATCTTTATAAATGGAAAAAAAAAATTCAAAAAGATATCAAAACCAAAGAACTTAATGTAAATTGTATCAGCAAATTTAGCAAGGCCACAAGAGCCATTCTATCAGTAAAAGAAAAAAAATGTAGTTCTGGAAGTTGTCCACGCAAAAATTTTGGTAGGAAACAAGATACTCTTGGATGATCGAGTGTCACAACAGTGGAGGCATAATATGTCCATTGCTTTCCTATTTTTTAAGAATTTCTTAAAACTAAAAAAAAAATGTAACAGAAAGCCCACAACTAATCATTCAGTTATGATTATGTAGCTCTGAAATCTAAAACTGAACTTAGATTGCACCTATAGATAAATGATCCTCTCTATGGATTAATACTGCTTGCGGTACATACTATGATTTTAATCATCATGTAGATCTCCACATGACTGGAGTAAAAACAAAAAGTTCTAAGCATAAATTAAGCTATTAAATGCTTTGGTCTCACATGTAATGTTCCAACAGTCTTATGTTCAAGAAGGTTATAAATAAAATTAGTAACTCTAAAACCAATAAGTAATATTTTAAGATAGCTCAGCTCACATAAATTAGTAATCCATATCATTACAAACATCGTTGCCTAGCAATATGAGCAACACTAGCCCTGAACATAAAATAAGACTAGGCAATGAATCATTGACAGTGCTTTGCATTATTTAATAACGGCTCCTGCTGATGGAGTAGAACTTTCTAAGTTAGCCGTGTTAATTTCTTGGCCATTTAGAGTGAACAAAAGGCCAAAATAATTATCGCAAAAAAAAGATAGAACAAAGTTGAATAAGGTATTTAGAATGATACCACTCAAGTTCCCCTTAAATATGATAACAGAAATAACATTGATCTTATTAATGATTGAAACACTTGAGAAGATCAAAAAAGCAACCATTAAGCAAACTATGGATACCCCATAAACACATCATACAGCAACATATCTTGATCTGGTAATTAATGAATGTAATCAAAGGAGAGCTCAAGGAGATCAGTTTAAACACAAAGAAAATAAAAATGCAGTGATATAAAGATACCTTATCTGTTCCATAATATTGAACAATATTTTCATGTTCAAATTGGCTCAAAAGGGCAATCTCCTGAAGAATTAAATTAAAAATTAGATAATATTTACCGATAAATATGCTTACAATAGAAAAGCAATTTTATCTAGTTGGCGTATAAGGCTGGCACAATCTATAGCTTTTCAGTATAGCCGGATTAGGAAAACTAAAAAGGAAAGCATAGTAAAATAATATGGTATCGATTTAACTCACCTGCTCGAGTTGAAGAATGCATTGCTGAGCATTACTTCCTTTCTCAAGCAAAGATACTTCCTTAACAGCAAAAAATCCACCATCACTGTAAATATGAATTAAATAAGTATAAAAGTACACAGGAAAACAAGCAGCAAATTTTACTTAAAATTCATGTAACACTAATATAAAAACAGGATTTAATGCTAACAAGAAGTAAGGGTTGAGACTAGGAAACTATTAACAAATAAGCTAAACCAATAAATGTAACTAATGTAATAATACAGATCTTAAGGGTTTGCATCACTTAAAATAGAAGTTCTGAAGCAGAAATCAATATGTCAAACTGTTATGGAGCTGTTAATAAGGATGATTGCACCACCCCCAACTTCAAATAGTCCAATATAATGTTCACAACATTAACCTGATGCGTATAAAATGGGTTTCTGTAGATTGTCCAAGCATTTTCCGTTTGTTTTATAGCCATTTTTTGTTGCTTCAACTTAACTCGTCACTTGCACATATTTCAAAATATTTTGACCAGAGCAAGACGAGCTAAGCTCATCCAAAAAGCAAAGCAAATTTTACGTGGCAGTTATTAACTAAAGTTCTCACAAGTTGTATGACAGCGATTTCTTTTTCCTTCCAACATGAGGCGTGGCCCAGGTAACAATGCCAGAAAATTGCTAATCCATCCACTTATAAGTCTTCCATAGAAATTAGAAAATTGCAAAGTAAGACAGACCAATTTTCTTTTTTAAAGTTACGAGTGATTACATTATCTAAAACGCCCATTATTTTTATCTTTTCCTAGTTCCACTTTATCAAATTGAATAAATGCACAGAAGAGAATCGTTAAGTCGCTACCGGAGGAAAATTTTTCTCATCAAATAACATGAAACGACTTTCATAGCATCTTGAACCGTATTGCAAATAAACGAAAGATTAACAAGATAATTTCGACTTACTCGCTAATCCCTTCGTACACTGTCCCAAAGGAACCGCTGCCTAGAAGCTGCCCGCGCATCCACGACCCAATAATTCTCTTAATCCGTCCCTTCGGCGATATAAAAAACGCCGACTCTGTTGTGGTGCTCGAAGAATCATCATCATTTGAAGTCGAAAACGAACCAGTACAATCCTCCGAGGTCTCCCCGGCAATCGCTCTCATCTCTTCCACAACTTCCCTAACTTCAACACCAACCCTTACCTCCTCCTCATCCGAGTCAAAAGACTTTCTCATATATCCTTCATCAATCTCATCCGGTGGAGCAAACGATCTCACTAGATCCCACGTTGAGCTCGTTCCATCGAGCACTGGCAGCTTCATGAAAGGCGGCCGATCAAGGACCGACCGACCGGGCGGAGGAGGAAGAATAGAGACAGTAGCCTGAGAAGTGGCAAGGACCGGCGGCCTGACGCCTTTGATCCGTACATCTCCAGCGCCTATTCCACACGCCGACGAGCGCGAGATCTCTGCCTTGGTCTCGAACAAGCGATCCAAAGCGGCAGGAAGCAAAATTTCACTCGGCTGATGCGAGCTCTCGGATTTGACAAATGGGAATCGAAGGACGAGATCGCAAGAGGATCGAGCCTTAAGGGAGGCCTCCCACGCGGCGGCGGGGATAGCGAAGTCTTCAGGGCCGGAGAGACCGAGACTGCGACAGAGAAGATCAACCTCGCCCTCGACACTGCCGCCGATGCGAAAGCTCGTCTGGTCCGAGCAAGCCCCAGGCGACAGATCAATAGAGTGTACCAGCGCTGGCGTCTTGCGCCACGAAGACGATGCCCATGGAACCTCGTATTCGACCTTTTTACTGGCGTTACGCTGATCGATCTTACTCCGCCGGACCGATGCCGCCGTCATCTCCCGCCGGCGGTCGGTCTTCTTGCTGCCGAAATAGAACATCGGTCGCCCATTAGGGGGAAGGGGCTAGGATTTGGAGATGGGAATGCGGAACCGAGGATTGGTTCTGATGCTTCAGCTGTGAGTGGTTGACTCAGCATCAAGGAAAGAAGAGAGAGTGAGAGAACGGAGGCGATGAACATTTGGCGGGCGTGGGGTTTATAGCGTCTCAACGCAAAGAGCCGGCTTCGCACAACTGGCGGTGTTTTCTTCTATGCTCCGACGTGGATTTCTTTGTCCGGAGACAACGGCGGTCTCACTCAATAATAAAACCTGTTTGGGAAGAAGGGGCGAACCGAAGTAGTGAGGCGGAGTGGTACAAGGATAATTAATTTCAGCATTTAATCGCTAGGAAATATATTAGGGATGGTTTATCAAATTAATTTTTTTAATATAATTTTTAAAATCACATTTAAATATTAAAATTTCTTATAATATCATCTCTTATTTTTTGCTTCTATCAAATTACTAATGATTTGATCGTGACACATAAAAGGATTTCAAAAAAAAAAATATGTTAGTTTTATAAATAGACAAATATATATATATATATTCTCCCAAAAGTTTTAAAGAACTGAGAGTTTTTGATAAAAAATAGATTTTCTTTATTATTCATCTATGTTTATTGTATGTTGAAATATTAGTGATAGTAGAGAGATTAAGAGTTTAACGTCCTAGCTTTGAATGAAAATTCAGCACACACAGGCAAAAGAGACATGCAACAATCATAAGAGGCACCAGATTGTTTACATAGAAAACCAAAGAAAGGGAAAAATTATAGAGCTTGGTCCAATCAAAATGATTCTACAAGTATTTGTCGTTGATTACAAATGATAATTTCCCGAGGAAACACATTATATATATATATATATATATATGATTGGAGTTTGAAGAATCTAATGAGATGGGAGTTATTCTCAAGAGAATGTTTGTTTGGTCGGTTAGGTCGTAGTCAGGTGACTAAGGTCAAGGACCGTAGTCAGCAATGGACGTTAGAGGGACGATAGTTGGCAAGCGAAAAATATTAGATAAATGGTAGTTAGCAGGCGACTCAGAGGGATCGTAGTAAGGTAACATATGTCTAAGGGACCACAGTCGACGGGTGATAGGGTTCAAAAGGACCATAGTCAACAAGAGATGAAGGTCAAAGGGATCGTAATCTGGTGACGATAGTCGGAGGGACTATAGTTGGGTGACTGGGGTCAAAGAGTTCGTAGTATGACAATAGAGGTCAAAGGAACCATAGTCGAGTGATGGAGGTCAGATGGACCTTAGTCAGCGGTTGTGGTCTAAGGGTCGTAGTCGGCGGGCAACTGTGATCAAAAGGAACGTAGTCTGTCGAATAATATTTGAGGGATCATAGTTGGGTAACTAAGATTCAAGGGGTCATTATCGGGTGACGGAGGTTGGAGGGATTGTAGTTGATAAGTGACTAAGGTCGGAAGGACCTTAGTCGGAGGGCAATGGAGGCCAGAGGGATTGTTGTCGTATGATGGTGGTTGGAGGGACTCTAGCATGTGAGCAACTATGGTTAGAAGAGTCTTAATTGGCGGACCATGCCAAGTAATCTAGGTTGGAGGGACCATAGTGACAGAGGTTAGAAGGGTTGTAGTTGACAAACAAAAGAGGTCTAAGGGATCATTATCATGCAATGATGGTTGGAGGGGTTGTAGTTAGCGAGCAACTATAGTCTGAGGGATAATAGTTTGGTGATAGAGATCTTATGGATTGTAGTCAGATAGAGGGACTGTAGTCACGGACTTTGGTCTGAGGATCGTAGTCGAGAGGGGAAGGTTAAAGGGAACCTAGTCGGGTGATGGAGGTTGAATGGACCGTAGTCGATTATTGGTGGCTATAGAGACCATTGACGACTAGTGATGGAGGTTGGAAGAATTCAAATCGATAGGTAATAAAGGCCAGTGGGACCACAATCAAGTGATGGAGATCTGATTTGTGCAAGTAAGCGTAGACCTGGCGACAGTGGTTGGATAGTGGTTTGGCTGAGGTCCAGTAGCGATGGTCGAGTTAATGTCAGGCGACAATCAATTAGTAAATGTCTGACTGCGATGGCTTGACGGCGAGGGATCGTTGATGGTGGTTATCGGGTGGAGCTCTTGGATTCTTCAAGCTATAAAGCTCTCTTAAATCTCTAACTCACCGTCCAAGGCCCCATTCATGTGAAGCGTGAGAGCCTATTTAATAATTTATAGATTTTTAGGAGTGGCATGCTCCATAAATATGACAAAGATCCATAGCAAATTCAAAGTGCTCCATCGAACGACTCACATTGATCCCATTGATCATAGAGCATTCATTCACCATTTAGTGCCTTAAAGATGTCAAAATTAAGCATTATTGGGCTTGTTGAATTTGTTTCTTCAAGTCACCAGATTCAATTATATACATGCCATATTTTGAGATCATTTGATCATCCAAGAAGAATCTTGAAGTTTCAAAATATTTATCAAGTCTTTGATTCGGTCCCATTTGAGCTCAGATTGGACTAATTTTGTTGTTCTTGGCTTCGTCTTACCAAGATGTTCAGTTTGACTATAAGTTTGATTAATTTAGAGTTCATATGGTCCCTAATTTAAATTTGTACGTTTCTAAATAAGATATGCCTCAAGATTCTTGTTGGATCAAGTCAATTTTTGGTGACATATCAATTTAATTTTATTTATGACAATATAAAGACAATATCATATATAATTTTAGAACAATATAAATTTTCAAGGATGTTGAAAGTCTATATATTTTCACGGTAAGTGTTTGATTCAAATTTGTCCATGTCAACATCTGATTTTACTAGCGAGCCTACCTAGTGAGCTTGCGAGCTTGACCTATGGGAATGGAGATGAGGAAGAACACTACAGAGGAAGAGAGAAAATTATGAATTTCAAACCAATATGAGATCCATTATCATCAGTCATAATGAGTAAAAAGTCGTCCAATGTTTCATAACAACCATTATTTATATGGTTCTAAGCTCTACTGAAAAATGCTACATAAAAAAAGTAAATTTTTTTTAAAAATAATGCTACACATAATATATATATATATATACAACACCACACACCATCCTAGACATATGTTGCCTCCTAATTGATTGAAGGAGAGTTGGATCATAAGGCTTCAACGAGTTGCCTCTGGTAATGCCAAATATGCTTGGGCAAGTCTGTGGGTGAGTGTTGAGATAAGAAAGGACATGTTGTTGACAAGATTGCTAACATTGATAGGAACTTGTGTGCGAGCTCTTGGATCGCCTGAGAAGAGAGAGGCGAGTGAGATGCTGTCAAATAAATGGAGAGATCCGAATTTGATGGTCATGATAAGGTAGGCTGAGGGTTTCGTGGCTATGTGTTTTTCTGTAACTGAGTCTTGTGAGGATCGATCACTGGGGAGAGAGAAGAAAGAGAGAGAGAGAAGAGGAGCGAGAGGAGAGAGAGAGAGAGAGAGAGAGAGAGACTGAGCTTCTCTAAGAAGGTTTGAGTGACAACTGTAGTAGTCCAGGTGCATGGCAAATGTCGGGTTGTTAGCTTGTTGAAGAATCACTTATTCACCCCGCAGAATGGAAGAGTGATCCCTATTAATCACTTTGGGCAAGTTCCTTGTAAACTCGAGGTAAGTGATTCCTCTCAAATAGTTAAGCAAGTTCTTAATGTGGACCCATTTGATGATAAGTTCCAAATAGTTAAGCAAGTTCTTAATGTGGACCCATTTGATGATAAGTTCCTCCGTCATGACTAGCCAGCTACTTGCTAAATACCTATAAAGTCATATGTGAATATACATTAAGAAAGGAAGAAGATCAATACAATTTTTTAACCCAAAAAAAATGTAAAGAATGAAGGTTATTATAACCAATGATGAAGATTTAGGATTTTCAACTATTAGTTTCTCAATAAATGTGTTTGAGCCTACCGCTATTATAATTTATTTTTTATTATTTGCCTGAATAATCATCATACTTAATAAATCCAAATTTCCCTGCTAAATACCATATAAGAAAAGTATAACACATTGATAGTAAATACAAGAAGATTTGATCATTTTTATTCAAACATAATTGGAAGGTGCAGAATAATAAATTTTAAAATGTTTTATACAAATTAAATTTATTTTTTTAATTAAAAAGAAAAAAAAGTCAAACTTAATAACATCCAAAATACATGAAAAAAAGTAAATAGAAATTTAAGCAAATATCTAATATAATACATTATTATACTTTGTCAACTATATAAAATACATGGATATTTGTATCACATCATGTCATGACCCATGTTCTATACACATACATGACATGAATGGCCGGCACATAAATTTAAAGAATAAGGATATATGCGGTGTTATTTAAGATGCAACATATCTTATTTGCCAGCAATTTATTTATTAGGAAGATATTAGCACGAAATTATTTTAATTAAATTTTATGTGAAAAATATGATATCATCTTATTTATTTATTTATTTTACTTTATAAGATAATATTTGTTTCTTATAAATAATATCTATTTGTAATTATCTTCATTGTTAATATATCAACAACAACATCAACATCAAACATTCATCTAACAATAGGATCTCCTGCATGAATCACTTTTTCTTTATTGTGTCTTATTAAAAGCCAAATTCTCATTTAAATTTAATAAAGAAAAGTTATTTATAATACTTTCTAACTAAGGCTTCAATTATGACGATTTTTTATTGTTTTTTAAAATAGAGTTTTCGTACAAAAAATTTTTGTACTAAAACTCTATTTTAAAAAGCAACAAAAAGTCATCACAAACGAAGCCTAAGTTTTTTTAGGTTTACCTCCAACTTTCTTAACATATGCTCTCATAACTGTGTTATCAGAAGGCCGATATTTTATGTGACCAAAGAATCAAAGACAACTCTCTCCTCCAACCCTTTCGCATATATACTCATTTCGCATGTTGCCTCTACGGGTAATGTCACTCATCCATCTAAGCATCCTCATCTCTGCAACACTTAACTTAATTTTATGCGGCCAATATTTCGCTTAATAAAGCATTGTAGGTCTCACCATCATCTTACAAAATTTTCATATAAATTCGAAGGGTACTTTTCTATCACTCAACGGTTTAAAAAGCTACAAAATATAGTTCTACAACTTTTCCCCAATAGTTTGAAATCGCTGTGAAAGACCTTTGTAGCAAACAACGAACAATGCAGTCATATAGCGGTTCAAAAATGACTGCTAGCATTTTTGTGACGGTTAAAATCACTGCGATAACCTAAAATAAATGCTTTGAAAACCTATTTTTCCTTTTAATGACAACATAAATAAATAAATAAATGTATATAGTACAATTTATTTTCTTTTAAACAAGACATGAACAGGGGCAAAGGCTAGATGATATGCCTGGAGATGTGAATATATATAAAAAAAGCACCGCTATTAATTATTAATAGAAAATAAAGGTCGAAATTGTCACCAATAATAAAAAATATATATACAGGCCGAATTATACTATGTAAATGCCTGTATATATCCTCCTAATTTATGTCTCTAAATCAGGCTAGCCTATAAGATGCTTGATTTTATATTATTTTATATTTATTATGTATTTTTTGTGTATATAAAATATTATGTAAATAATAATAACAACAACATGTAAATCAAATACATGTTTGTATTTGATTTATATAATATATATTTTTTTCATATGGCGAATATGAATTGAATAAATGGACATGGCTGTCACATGACACATGTTGGAATTATATGGCCAATAGAAAGGTTTAAAATACTTCTAACTATAGATTTCAAATGATAAAATATGTGGAGATCTTGGACTTATTCAAGGTTCCAATTAAGCTCAAAGGGTGTCTATAAACTTGTATTATTGATCTTAAATAAATGAGATTTAGGTTTTGTTGGGGGCTAGAATATACGCGGCGATAGAGTTAGAATTTTATGTCTCAGCGTTGTACATATATCCATCAGACATACAGAGAATTCAAGATTTTTTACATGGAAAACTCTGGAAAAAGAGAAAAACTACAGGGCAACGCTCAATTAAAATGATTTCACTAGTGTTTGAGTAGATTACATGTGACTGAATCGTTCTTGAAATTGAGGACAAACAGATTACGATAATCAACTATCAGGTTGAAATCAAGTGATGAATGGAGATCAGACGAAAATCTGATTACGTTTGGCGGTCGAGCGAAAATCCGACATCAATTGACAGACGGGTAGAAATCCGACGTTAGTTGGCGGCCAGGCGAAAGTCCAGCATCAGTCGATGGTTCGGCGGAAGTCCGGCGCCATTCAGTGGCCGATCGGAAGTCCGACGGTGGTCGAGGAGTCTAGTGGCAAGAAAACTCTATTTTCTTTATCTTTCTTCTCTTCCTTGTTTGGGGTCCCTTCCATGAGAAATGAGGGGTCTATTTATAATTTTCTAAGAGTGTCATGTCCAGTAAATAGGAGGGAGATTAATTAAGTTGGGAGTGGTTTGAATGGATGGCCGATATTGATTCCATTAATTATAAATCGTTTATCATGCATTTGAATGTTTTAATGATATCAGAATTCAGCGATCTTGGGCTCGTTGGATTTGTCTCATCGAGCAACGATCATGGGCTCGTTGGATTTGTCTCATCGAGCCACTCGATTCGACTATAAGCATGTCACGTTTGAAAATCGTTTGGTGATCCAATTTATGGTTTGAACTTTCTAAATGTCCTTTGGATCTTCGATTTGGACCCATTTGGGCTCGAATTGAGTCAAATTTGGTGTCGTTGGGTTTGTAATTCTGAGACGTTTAGTTCAACTATAAGTTTGTTGAAATCAGAGTTCAAATGGCCCCAAATTTAATTTTGAAAGTTTCATACTTGACATACTTGATTTTGCCTCAAGATTTGTGCCCGATAAAGAAATTTTGTGGCATATCATGTTTCATTTAGGATAACTTTTTACTGCTTTCTAAAACACCTTTTTAGTACAAAAATTTTTAGCTCAAGAAATTTTTGTACTAAAAAGTGCTCTAGAAATCAGTAAAAAAACTGACCCAAATAAAGCCTTAGGCTCATTAATTAGAACCAGCTAATTTAGTTTTTTTTTTAGTTCAATGTGTGTGTGTTTGGGAGTTGAGAGATTTTTTATTCATAGAAAGTATAAGAATTGAGATGATGATTTCATATGTTATTACTTATATGTAGAAGAAGGTTGAGGTTTAGTATAAGGAAAAGATTTTATTTAAGGAAAATAAAAAATTTACATAATGATTGATGGGATCTAATTAAGGCTTGTTATAAGAAGAATGTTTGTTAGTTGTTATTAAGGTTTCATTTGGGACAGTTTTTTTTATCATATACACAAGACTTGAATCCAAAACCTCTTAGTTTGTTGCCTAAGCTCCCAACCAACAGACAAAAGAAAGCCATGTATTAAGATTTCCAGCTTACCTGTACGAGGTCTTTACGGGGAGAGATTATTCTGTGCGGAATCTGAATGTATTCGAAGTCGAATCTGGATGCGCCACTCACCGAATGCATTGGGCCCCAGTGATGTGGCATGCCCGTATTCGCCTCCAAACACATTCGTTCGGATTCCGCACAGAATAATTTTCCCTTTACGGGTGAACAGTTTCCACTGTTCTTATTGAAGCGTTTTGAAGCCCACAAGCAAGCAAATAGCAATTAATGAAATAAAGAAATTTATTTTTTTTGGAACCTAATTGTGCACAAATTCCTTTTGTCAAAGGTCTTCAAATAGTTAGCACTGTTGCATCTGATGAGTAAATCATACCCGTTCTTAATTAAAAATTAAAAAAAAAAAATTTGTTTTTGAATAATAAAAAATAATATGCTAAAATAAAAGTAACATGTCTTCTGCTTATAATTAAGGCTTCGTTTATTTTTTTGGTGCTTTTGTAAAAGACAGTTTTAAAAAACATTAGTTCAAAAAATGGAATTTTCTAACGGAGAAGCATATATAAAAAGCTTTCTCAAAACAACATAAAAATGAAAAAAAGAGCTATTGGGAACGTGATTTGACAAACCAAACAACACACAAAAAAATTCCTCTGTTTCCAAACGAAAAAGACAAAAAAACGCTCAAACAAACAAAGCCTAAAAACATCCCCTCGAATTTATCGTGACAATAACTCAATTGTTCAACATGTAAGAAGGCTATGTAGTATACATAAGAAGAGCAGGGCCGGCAGTCCAGTAGGCTTCTGAAAAAAATTACATAAACTCCACTCCGATACATTCCAAATCTCTAGCTGGAAAATGAACATCATTTGCTTATCTGCTGTTTTTTGATGACTTATAAGGGTAATAGATTTGGAGATAAAATTATTAGTTCTAGGTTAAACAATACAAATAAAAAGAGACTGTAGCCCACTTTAGTCATCTAATTATTTCTAATACTTTCTAACCAGATCTACCTCTAACTTTCTTAATATAGGTCAAATTTAATACACCTACTCTCCTAACAAGGTCATCAAAAGGCCAACATTTTGAAATGTTATTAAATCATCTAAGACAACTCCCTCCAATCTTATCTACCACTGAAATTACTCCAATTTTTTCCCGTATATACTCATTTCACATTTTATCTCTAAGAGTGAAATCACTCATCCACTCGAGCATCCTATCTCTGCAATACTTAGTTTTACGCTTCTCTTTTAATGGTCAATATTTTGCGCCATAAAGTATTACAGGTCTCAACACCGTATTATATATACAACAATAACAACATCAAGCCTTTATCCCACTCCGTGCGGTTGGCTTCATGAATCCTTTTTCTGCGTTTAATCTGATTAAGAGTCAATTTCTCATTTAGATCCAATAAAGAAAGGTCATTTCTAATATTTTCAAATAATCATGACACCATCTTATATATAAAAGAAAAAAAAAATTATTTTCTGTCAAACTCAAAGCAAGTGTATTTTCGGGAAGGTGACAATTATAAATGCTACATTAATTTTAATGCTAAAACCATTTTAAGGCATGAAACAAAGGACACCACAACCTTAAATGTCTTCAGTGTCCATAAATTCTAAGTTAGTGTAGTTACAGCACATTATGTAAATATACCATCTAAAATTAAGTTCTTAAGTAGCCCATAAATGGGTGGGTTGAATGAGAAGCAAAATTACGACAAAAAGATCTAACAAGTTAGTACCCATGGTTGAGAACTTGCGACTTTCTCATGAAGCCTGATTAGTCCTCTTATCCTCCAACAATTTGAGTTCTGCATGCCAATCTGCAATTTTTGCCATTTTTTCAATTTGCTCTGGCTTCATGTTTGACTGTTCTCCTTTTAGCTGCTGGCCTTCAGCCAATCGAATCTGCAAAAAATAAAAATTTATGTATAAGATGCACATTTGCAGCTGATTGATGCAGTTGATGACTAATTCTCAATGCAATTTTGCCAGCTATAATCATTGAGATTTGATATATATAGCTATACATTATAAGCTGATATGAATTAATCTCATGAATGACTATTAAGACATTTTTCCCTTCTCATAAATGATGAGTTTTCATCTCATGTAATTAAAACATTCAGTTTAATGGAATGTTTACAATATAGGCTTCATTTGGGACAGCTTTCCTTTTTATTCTTAAAGCAGCTTTTTAGTACAAAATTAAAAAAATCTTGTACTAGAAAGGCTGCTTTAAGAAGCAGAAAGAAAGCCGGCCCAAACGAAGCCATAGAAATTAGCAAAACAAAGGAATGAAATCATTTCTAATATAAGTTGCCATGAAGCTTGTGTGATTTCTTATTATGAGGCTTCAAGAGCTTGAAGGATCTCTGTTGTTACAATTAACTATGTAAATATTATGGTAATGCCCAAGCGTGAACTGTATTTGTTTGATTTGCAAGCAATTGCTATACTGTAAGTAAATACTAAAGCTCATTTTCACAAAGGTGATTAAATTTCATTCAGTTTGACAACTTGTCAGAAACTACTAAAATGAGCATATGAATATATCTTTGAAAAAAACACATTCGAAAACTTGGAGCTTCTAGATGTTCTTAAATTTAAGAGAACCATATCCTATTATCAAACATCAATTGTCTTTGATTTTTGGCATAACAATTATTTAAGATAATTAACATTCCTCTACGATGGAACCTAAATATAACTATCCTTATAACTCGAGAAAGTGTTCTCTCACTTTTTTTTTTCTTCACGTAAATATAATAAAATTTTTCTCTGAAGAAAAATGATCTCAAGTAAATAAGAAAAAACTCGCAACTTTTTCCTAAGAAGCATTTTTAGAAAAATATTAGTTAACCAATAGACCCAAATAATGCATACATCATATCATAACTAATAATATATCCCTCCTAAGACTTCCATAAACAAAGAAATGACAATCGTTGCTTCAAACCTCAATAAAATAGACAGCATAGCATGATTACATCTAGACTTCATGACAATTACTTCATAAGAAATATAAATTGCAGTTATGAAGAAAAGAACTGAAAAATGAAAATGAGCCAACCAGAATTACATTATTTTTCAGCACCTTATAATATGATAATAGAAATTGTAAATTTGAATAGCCAGTCAAGTCTTCAAACAATTAAATAGGGCAGATTACATCTCAGATTTGTTAAGAAATCTGAACAGTCAAAAAATATAATTGGTATTACAGTTATGAAGAAATTGACTACATGATCATGAGTTCTCTTGCAAAAAAAGATAGAATTTTAAGGAATTCATGTTTGCAAGATGAAATAAAGGCAAATATACGTTTAATATATGCTTGGGTAATACCAAAAACATAAAGTAAATCTACAAATAATAAAGAGAACATAAAAAAGGAAAAAAGTTCATTTTCTTATGGAGACATTTTAGATTCAAGTGATTGTCTATATGTGCCTAAATTACCACCATTCAAAATAATTGACATTCCACTATAGAAAAGAATGGACAATAAATAGAAGCATCTTCATAACTCAAGAAATCTGTTCCCATCGTCTTTTCTTTCATGATTATAATATTAGAGAATCTATCTTTCTCTAACGATTAAGAAATGCTTAAACTTTCTTTAATTTAAAGTCTCCCTCTCCACCTTAACTATACCGATGATTATATTTTTTTAATTTTTATATATTTTCCATAATGAGCGCATTAAAAATTAATTGTCAACCTATCAACATAATTAATTTTTAGGTCACAATTAATGGGTATATCTAAAACTTTCAAAGCCATAAAAAACTCACATACTTGGAAATTGGAATATGCTTGCCAGTTCAAATGAAAAAATAAATCTTCTTTGACACAGTCAATGGCGAGCAATAAATCATCAAAATATATGGGTTGAATCTATGACTGTAGAGAAAAAATATTCACTTTTAATCACTGGACTACAAATCCTTTAACAAAAATCACAATCATTAATTCTTATTAACAAAATAGCATAGCATCAATCCAAAATAAAAAATGGAAATATTACTTCTACTGTCTATAAATAGTACAGCATTATCCCAAAGAAACATTATCTTTTGAACATCCATGACCAACAATTAAATTAAGAAATCTGATTGCAATTACGAAGAAAGAAATTGAAAACAATAAATTGTTACAACATAAATTACTTGATCAATGAAAAACTGAAATTTATATAGAGAAATGGAGACTTGCAAAGTTTTTGGGCAGCTAAATCAAACTTTAAAAGTAAGACGATGCTCAATTTTGTAAGAAAACTGAAATACGAAAGTAAAATGAGCCAAAAAAAAAAAGCAAGGAAAGAAATTGTTTGATCAGGAATCCATCTCAAGCAAAAAATTAAAACTTGTTCCATTTCATTTTTATGTGGGCTGATATGAGACTAAATACTTGCAAAATCAGAGAGGACGAAGCAGAAACCTGTGCCCTCTGTTTCAACTTTTAAGCAATGAGCGCTCTTCTTCACAAGAGAATATATATATATATATGGTTTGGAAATTTAATGCAAAAGCAAGGTAAAAATATAACACTGAAGTGAATAAAAGAAAAATTCAATAAAAAGGGAATTAACTTCAAGGATTTCCCGGATCTCTGTGAGCCTTACCGTCTCCTTCTCCTCAGCTTCCTCATCATTGTCCAGACCGTAGCACTTAGAAGCCTTCTACTGCTTCTTTCAAAGGCTGCTACTGCCGCCACAATGTCGACTACATTTTTTTTTTTTTTTCCAATGTTGAAGTCACGAGCCACAAGGACGATACACAGTATAGGTGGAGGTAGGAGATTTGGAAGTTTTATACAGTAATATATAAGATGCCCTTTATCCAGCAGTGAAAATAAAGATTTAGGAGATATGGAACAAATTGTATAACATCATATGTTTGCCAAAGAAGAAAAGAGGTATATATTTATTTTTGCAGTGAAACAGTAACCAATTTGTAACTCTGCACACCATAGTCGCAGGCTAAAGACAAAGACCCTCCTCCAAACATTGGGATGAAGTTTCCCATCTTTTTAAAAAAAACTGAAAATCTAATGGAAGTTTCAATTTAAGGAAACACGAGTATCCAAAAAAGTTACACATGACAGAAATAAGCTTCGCCTCAAGTCTATCCGCATCAAGACATTTGTGCGAGATTTTTATTGATTTTTAACATTTGAATGATCAGTTTACTAAAAGATCAAAAATTCAAAAAAGACAACAAATTACAAAAGCAAAAGAAAGTACCTTCTTTTTTAAAGCTCGAATTCTCTTATCAATATCTGCACCAGAACATTCTCCAGTTTTTGAAGTTTCCAATGTTTCTTTTGATAGAGAAACACAAAGATTATTTATCCCCTCCGTAATTGATTCTGCAGCATCTTGCCTATCATGAAGAGCCGCAGAAGGCTCTTCAGCTATTCTCTCTAAAGCTTCCTCTACGTCCAAGTTATTCCCCTTGTCTGCTGTAGCAAGTGAAGCCTGCAAACCATTCTTTTTGTTCAGACCTCCACATATCAATAGTAAGAAACCAAAAAAAGGTAAAAAAATAGCTTAGGAAATCTTTCTTAATTGCTAATGTGTCTACCGTGTCTGTATGTGCACGGAGGAGTGAAGGGTAAGTGCACGTTTTGGTGCTGCATTGCCCGTTCATGGCTTAACTTGATATGACAATAGAATGAAATTAATGGTTCAAATTCTGCCAACATCTAACCTTACAAAGTGAACGTGATGCTTCAACATATTTTCATAAAAGGAGATGACAACAACGACAGATTGTTTTGATGTTTTAAGCCAACGTTGCAGCGCAATGTCCTACTGAATAGCCACTTTTATACTGTTTCAACATCACAAAAACAATTATTAAAAGACAAAGCTATGGCAGTTTATGCATGCTTCTGATATTTCAAAACATGCAATGGCGACAACACTATTAAATACAGCCCGAGAGCCAGTTGAAACCATTTGTATTCTATTAATAAGAATTAATTCCTTGGTTCTGGTCTGGCCAATAAAAACTAATACAACTTCAAGACAAAGGCAGCACTTTATTCGTCCTCCATTAGGTATTTAGGTGTTCTGCTCTTTCAAATGTTAGGCCATTATATGAGCAACATGAACAGAACACGGCCGTTCATGTGGACGTGAATAACCACAAGGAGTGATCATTTTGCTGGAACAGGTTGTGAGTGCGACAAACCAGATGTAATCAGCTTTGTGGGTCAGCCAAGCAAGTGGCTAAGGAGAGTGACACATCAAGGAGATAATAGTTAATGTGGTTGCAAGTGTGGGCCACCCCCTCCCCCTCCTCTTTTCTAAATTCAACTTTCTCATGTAACTGAAATAAATACTTAATTGGCTATGGAATGAAGGAGATGGAGGTGTTTTGTGATTGAATTTTGAAAAAAAAAACAAAATATTGGTTGGAGCTTGGTGGCCAACTAAACTAGGAGGAATTAGGTGATCCTTCCTAAGATTACTACTTGGGTGTGTACTAGGATTTATGTTGCTTTGTTTTCCACTTTTTTTTTTTCTTTTGTGTTTTATCCTATCTATCATTCCATACTCCAGAAAATTATAATCATAATTTGCCTAACAATCAAACCATCATTTGAGGGCTTTTGTAAGACTCGGCCAAACAAGTTTAGAACTAACCTAAATTTAATTTGCCTTCAATTGGGTGACTTAAACTACTCTAAAAATTTCCAAAACTACATATCTAATGAAGACACCCTAAAATTTGATCTCCAAACATTTATTTGGGATTATTATTTATTAAATTTCAAATCTCGAGAAACCCAAAAGTCACATACAATCTCCAGCCAAAAAGGTAAAATCTCACATCAATATAGGGAAAATTCGGAGAAAATTATAAAACCACCACAAAAAATCATCAAATTCTACATATCATGACTAGACTTCTTAACCTTCAGTTTGGTTTTTATTTCATGTCATTTGGACTTCTAAAGAGGAAGTTGTAATGATTAGAACCCAGGGCTCCAGATCCTTGTTAGTTGTTGGAACTGGGTTGGTCAACTACTAACTCCTTCCCAACCATAATTTTTTTTTTTGTTTTGTTGGCATTCCGGCGCATTAACATTTCGACGGAAATTTTTTTCCGGCGAAAATTTCGTCGGAAATCCGCCGGAAATGTTTCCGTCGAATTTTTTAACGCCGGAAGTCTTTTTACGACGCGAACCAAACCGGCGGAAATATTTCCGCCGGAAATCCGCCGGAAATGCAATTTTCTGACGGATTTTGGCCATTTTTCGACGAAAATGACCGTCGGAAAATGACGTTTTTCCTGTAGTGAAAATTCTGGAAAAGGAAAAAAGTCACGAGGCCACACACAGTTGAAATGATTCTACAAGTGTTTGGGTAGATTACCAGTGACTGAATCATCCTTGAAATTGAGGACAATCATATAACAATAACTAGTCCGGTTTATATCTAGTGATGAATGGAGATCAGACGAAAATTCGGCTATGTTCGGTGGTCCTGCAGAAATTCGACGTCAATTGGCAGACGTGTGCAGAAATCTGGCTTCAGTTGGCGGTTGGGTGGAAGGCCTGCGTCAGTCGGTGGTCGAGTGCAAGTCTGACATTAATCGGTGGTCGGGCGAAAGTCCGACGCCAGTCGATGGGCAAGCAGAAATCTGGCGACACTCTGTGGCCGATCGTAAGTTCGACAGTAGTTGAGGAGTTTGGTGGCAAGAGAAAACTAGTTTATCTCTTCCTTTACTTCATTCTCTTCCTTGGTTTGGGTCCCTTCCATGAGAAATGAGGGGTCCATTTATAATGTTATGAAAGTGGCATGCCAGTAAATCGGAGGGAGATCAAGGGTAAGTTGGAAGTTGTTTGAATGGACGACCAATGTTAATTCCCTTGATCGTGAATAGTTTATTGGGCATTTGAATGTCTTAATGATATCATAATTTAGCGATTTTGAGATCGTTGGATTTGTCTCGTCGAGACGCTCGATTCGACTATAAGCATGTCACGTTTGGAAATTGTTTGGTCATCCAATTTATGATTTGAACTTTCTAAATGCTATTCGAGCCTTTGATTTGGAGCCATTTGGGCTCGAATTGAGACAAATTTAGTGTCATTGGATTCATAATGAGACGTTCAGTTCGACTGTAAGTTTGTTGAAAATTGAGTTTGGATGGTCTTAGATTTAATTTCGGAAGTTTCAAACATGATTTTGCCTCAAGATTCATGCCCAATCAAGATAATTTTTTTATGACATATCAGGCTTCGTTCGGAATAACTTTTTACTGCTATCTAAAACACTTTTTAGTTAAAAAAAAAATTAGTGCAAGAAAATTTTATGCCAAACAGTGCTTTAGAAATCAATAAAAAAGCTATCTCAAACAAAGCCTTAGGCTCATTAATTAGAACCCACTAATTTAGTTTTTTTTTTTTTTTTTGTAAGTTCAATGTGTGTGTTTGAGAGTTCAGAGATTTTTTATTCAAAATAAATATAAGAATTGAGGTGATGATTTCATATGTTATTACTTCACTCTTTTTTATATGTACATGGAGGTTGAGGTTTAGTATTGTTGCGAACTAGAATATATGCGGCGGTAGATTTAAGAAATTTTCGTCTCAGTATTGTATGGATATCCAGCACACAAACAGAACAGGAAAGGAAACACCATGATTTTTACGTGGAAAACCCTGAAAAGGGAAAAAACCACAGGGTCTCGCCCAGTTGAAATAATTCCACTAGTATTTGTTTGAAGTACAAAAAGGCTGACTCGTCCACAAAAGTTAGGACGATCAGATTACAATGAATATCTTCTGAGTTGAGATTCAGTTATAAAGTTGAGCAGAGTTCTGGCATCACCCGGGCGTCCGGCAGAATTCCGACGTTACTCAGGCGACGGGAAGAACTCCGGCGGTGGTCGAGGAGGAGCTGTTCCCTCCTATCCTTCTCTTCTCGTCTTCTCTTCTTTTTCTCTTCTTCTCCTTGCTTGGGATCCCTCTTATGAGAAATGAGGGGTCTATTATAGTTTTTCTGGAGTGGCATAGCTCGTAAATAGGTGTGAGATCAGGGGCAAATAGGGAGTGGCCAAATGGACGGCTGATATGAATCCTTTGGTCGTGCACCGTTCGTCTGACATTTGAAAGTCTTAGTGATGTCGGAATTCTGAGATCTTAGGGTCGTTGGATTCGTCTCGTCGAGCTGTTCGATTCGACTATAAGCTCGTTGAAATCAAAGACCGTTTGGTAACTCAAATTGTGGTATAAGCTTTCCAACAGCACTTCGGGCGCTTGATTTTGGCTCATTTGGGCTCGAATTGAGTTGAGTTTGGTGTCGTTGGGTTCATATTTCCGAGATGCTCAATTTGACTATAAGCTCATTGAAATTGGAGTTCGGGTGCTCCCAGATTTAATTTTTGAAGTTTCCGATTTGATTTTGCCTCGAGATTCGTGCTCAATCAAGATAATTTTTTGAGAATATATCATGTATTAAGGAAAAGATTGTATTGAATGAAAATAATAAACTTACATGATGATTGATGGGATCTAATTAAGGCTTGTTATAAGAAGAATGTTTGTTAGGTGTTAATTAATGGTTCATTTGGGACTGTTTTTTTATTATTTTTAAACCAATAGAAAAGTTGTCCCAAATGAAACCTAACTCTTTTTTATATGTAGATGGAGGTTGAGGTTTAGTATTAAGGAAAAGATTGTATTGAAGGAAATTAAAAAAAACTTACATGATGGGATCTAATTAAGGCTTGTTATAAAAATAATGTTTGTTAGGTGTTATAAAGGTTTCATTTGGGACAGTTTTTTTATTATTTTTTTAAAGCAATAGAAAGCTATCCTAAATGAAACCTAAATTAGATATGCAATAGTCATTTTCAAATAGTATGCAGACATGTAAGAAATTATTCACCGACTTTACTTGGATTGCCAAAGTTCTGAACAAGGAGCTAGCGTAGGTGGTATCAGCTCAAAACAAATTCGCTAAGTCTACAAATGAACTTGACTCAAACAGATGTAACCTATGAACTCATCCAAAGCAGGTGAGTATGTCATATTAAGTTTACCCTGATGAATACGATCTACCAAATCAGCCCTAACAACTACAAAAGTGGGGAACTTCTCATTAAATGACTTATTCCAGGCTTAGCAAATGAATTCATCAAGTCTGACATTTTTAATAAAGGCTACATGACAATTATGTTTTTCTCTATTTTTTTATATAATCATATATGTAGCCAATTATGTAATGCTCACATCTTAATCAAAAATTATAAATAGAGGGCCAAGCAATAAGCTTAACTTAGACAATTTTATATACATAAGCTCATTTTATGAACCTTTTACTCAGCATTCACATATTGCATACACAAGACTCAAATACAATACCTCTTAGTTGATAGCATAAGCTCCCAATCAACAAATCAAAGAGAGCTGTGTATTTACAACTTAACTGGACGGGGTCTTTACGGGTGAATAGTTTCAATGTTCTTATTGAAGCGTTTTGAAGCCCACAAGAAATAAAGAAAATTATGATTTCTTGGAACGTAATTGTGAACAAATTCTTTTGTCAAAACTCTTCAAACAGTTAGCATTGTTGCATCTGATGAGTAAATCATACCCCTTCTTAATTAAAAATTATAAAAAATTGTTTTTGAATAATAAAAAATAATATGCTAACGAAAAAGTAACGCGTCTTCTGCTTATATAATTAAAAACATCCCCTCGAATTTATCGTGACAATAACTCAATTGTTCAACATGTAAGAGGGCATTGTACTTATACATAAGAAGAGCAAGGCCGGCAGTCTATGTAGGCTTCTGAAAAAAATTTACATAAACTCCACTCCCTATACATCCAAATCTCTCGCTGGAAAATGAACATCATTTGCTATCTGCAGTTGTTTGATGACTTATAAGGGTAATAGATTTGGAGATAAAATTATTAGTTCTAGTTTAAACAATACAAATAAAAAGAGACTGTAGACCACTTTAGTCATCTAATTATTTCTAATACTTTCTAATCAGATCTACCTCTAACTTTCTTCATATAGGTCAAACTTAATACACCTACTCTCCTAACAAGGCCATCAAAAGGCCAACATTTTGAAATGTTATTAAATCATCTAAGACGACTCCCTGTCTCCCTCCAATCTTATCTACCACTGAAGTTACTCCAATTTTTTCCCGTATATACTCATTTCACATTTTATATCTAAGAGTGAAATCACATCCACTTGAGCATCCTATCTCTGCAATACTTAGTTTTACGCTTCTCTTTTAGTGGTCAATATTTTGCGCCATAAAGTATTACAGGTCTCACCACCGTCTTATATATACAACAATAACAACATCAAGCCTTTATCCCACTCCGTGCGGTTGGCTTCATGAATCTTTTTTCTGCATTTAATCCGATTAAGAGTCAATTTCTCATTTAGATCCAATAAAGAAAGGACATTTCTAATATTTTCAAATAATCATGACACCATCTTATATATAAAAGAAAAAAAAATTATTTTCTGTCAAACTCAAAGAAAGTGTATTTTAGCACATGTATTTTCGGGAAGGTGACAATTATAAATGCTACATTAAATTTTAATGCTAAAACCATTTTAAGGCATGAAACAAAGGACACCACAACCTTAAATGTCTTCAGTGTCCATAAATTCTAAGTTAGTGTAGTTACAGCACATTATGTAAATATACCATCTAAAATTAAGTTCTTAAGTATCCCATAAATGGGTGGGTTGAATGAGAAGCAAAATTACGATAAAAAGATCTAAACAGTTAGTACCCATGGTTGAGAACCTGCGACTTTCTCATGAAGCCATATTAGTCCTCTTATCCTCCAACAATTTGAGTTCTGCATGCCAATCTGCAATTTTTGCCATTTTTTCAATTTGCTCTGGCTTCATGTTTGACTGTTCTCCTTTTAGCTGCTGGCCTTCAGCCAATCGAATCTGCAAAAAATAAAAATTTATGTATAAGATGCACATTTGCAGCTGATTGATGCAGTTGATGACTAATTCTCAATGCAATATTGCCAGCTATAATCTATAAGAAACCAAATGTCTCTTTGGTTCATTGAGATTTGATAAATATAGCTATACATTATAAGCTGATATGAATTAATCTCATGAATGACTATTAAGACATTTTTCCCTTCTCATAAATGATGAGTTTTCATCTCATGTAATTAAAACATTCAGTTTAATGGAATGTTTACAATATAGGCTTCATTTGGGACAGCTTTCCTTTTTATTCTTAAAGCAGCTTTTTAGTACAAAATTAAAAAAATCTTGTACTAGAAAGGCTGCTTTAAGAAGCAGAAAGAAAGCCGGCCCAAACGAAGCCATAGAAATTAGCAAAACAAAGGAATGAAATCATTTCTAATATAAGTTGCCATGAAGCTTGTGTGATTTCTTATTATGAGGCTTCAAGAGCTTGA